CACATACACACATATATGTGTATATATATATATATATATATATATATATACATATGTACTGTATGTTAATCTGCTAAAAGTGCAAATGTAATTCAAACAACTATTTACTACTAGGCTACATAAATCCTTGTTTCCACCACATCTAAGGTTTCAAACACACACATGCTTACCCATAGATCAGGTCTTTGTGGTGTTTGAGGGAGTCGGGGATGGTGGGTCCATACTGTGGGGGAGGAAATGGCCTGACATCGTCCCCGTACCCCCCCACCGACATGCCCTCCGACCCTGAGTAGTGCACCAGCTCTTCATACTGAAACACAATTAGATGGAAAGACAGAAAACATGAGTCACATTCGACATCTGTGCCCGTCTAACATCAAATCATATTGTGATTTTATTATGTGGCTGATCTGTCAGGGGGCTTCAGTGACACAGCTTACTGGACTCTCAGTTAGGAGATCTGCTGCTGTGTTTATGTCTGAACTGCTGAACATATTTTGTGCTGCCATTTAACGTTATAATTTAATGTTGCATGTTTGTGTGTGTGTGTGTATAAAGGCTGCCACTAACATTTATTTTTATTTCTGATTAATCGTTTGACCCATAAAATGTGTAACAATCATAGAAAACTCAGAAAACCAGCAAATATTCAGATCAATCATTGCAGGCCAAACAAACAACAATATCAACAAAAAAATCAACAATTAGAAAAGCAAAAAGTTATTTTTACTCAAACTATTCTGTCTAATATTACAATGATATAATGTAGCAAATGTACTACTCCCAGGGTGTGTGTGTATGTGTGTGTATGCACTGATAAACCAATGCATATATCCCCATTCCCTCATAAGAAAACCTTGACTATCTCTTTGTTTTCACTTCAGCTTAAAGGTTACATGCTGCTGAAAATTCTACCACACTCTCAGGATCCAGAAATCCTTTCAAATGAGGTTGGACAAACTCAATAATGCACAGCAAGTCAAGCTACAAAAAGCTGATTTTCGTAGCTGCAGAAAGGAGGAGTACGAGAAAAAGAGGCTGATGAGCTCCTTGGAGAAAGACGGTGAGCCTGTAGCTGCTAATATCGTCTCCTCCCTCCTAAACTCAGACTAGACAGGAGCCGTGCTGAGACATCCCTCACAGCCCGCTGTGACAGCCTCACTGGGGCTTGCTCACACACACACACACACACACACACAAACTCTAACAGTGAATCAGACACACATATGGCACGCTCGCAGACACAAACACACATGCACAGAGATGAACATCCCTCATACACACAGCATCATGAATATACATGTCTGACTCCCTTGTTCCTCTCTCTCCTTCTCTGTGTTATGAAGCTAATTTGTGCTTCACTGCAGCTCCTGTCTCTGAGGCGACGTTACTCAGGTCAGCAGATCTGCTTCTGTTGCTCTTTCTGTTGGATTAAAGGGACTTCCCGCCGCAGTCCCCACAGGCCCACAGGGATCACAGACAGACACCTGCTAGGTGGCCTGGCCTGGACACCTTTCACTCCTGTGTTATTTTAACTGAGCCATAAAAGTTATGATCTGCTTAGCTTTTTCTGTGGCGACTATTCCCCAGGCAGGCAACCATAAGAGCGTGTGATTTACTACAGAAGTGTGTGACTGAAGGTAACTCCTTCAAATAAAAGTAAAAGTCTGTAATTAAAGCTATTATTATTAGACATGGTGATATATTTTCTACACTTTTAATGCTGTCAGAACACCTCATGGCTCACAGACTTCAAAATCTTTGTCCAAAAGAGTCCAATCAATTGGTTGTTGTATGTGGAGTGCATAAATAAAAGGTGAGACAGCAACTGAAAAATAAAAGCAAATGTTCTTATATTTTCTCTTTATGTGAACCTTTCAGAATTAAATAAAAGACTAATTAAATTATCCCTCTTCATGTGCATGCACTGCTCCCCTGCAAACCCCTCTCCAGGACCCCTGGAGGTCTCCGGACCCCACTTTGGGAACCACTGTCCTAAATGGCTTATCAAATTGTTGTATTTCAGAGTCCCATATGGCCACCGGGATCATAGAAAGCACCTGCTCTGAGGCCCTGGCCCGGGACACCTTCTAGTTTTTATGGAGGCTGGCTATTAACACAATCACCGCTATCGGATTGCGCGTCTCTCTTTACGCACGGCCCCTATCGAGTTTCTGTGCATCAAGCGGATCAAAGCGCACAAGTCGAGATGACAAATTCCGCGAATTTTCCCTTTTTTTAAAAGTCACGGAGCTGGTAAACAGGCTTCAGATGGAAGGACAACATTTTTATTACGAGTTTTAATTATTATTGTTGTTTCAACCGACGCAGGGAAGATATTGCAGGCTTGACAGGCTGCTTCAGCTGGAGAGATCCCCAGAGCCGACCATGATATGTAGGACTAACGCCATTTGGCTTTAAAGAACTGGATTTATATTTGAATGGAACATTTAATTGTCTATAATAAAAAGTAAAAAATAAAAACGAAATTAGGTGCACAGCTTTGTCTCATGTTTCAGACCCTGTTAAAAGTTAAAAGTCTAACTGTATTAATTAAACACTATTCACTATTAATTAAGAATAACGGGTCTATTTGACTTTCTAAACATGAACATTTCATTGTAGAATAATGGCTGTTATCTAAAAGCAATGCCCCTTTTCTACATTACAAATAATCCTGTAGAGGAAGGAAACTAATTCAAACTCATAATTTTCTCAGTGCGTAATTTTAGAAATTAAAAGTGAAATGTGAATTTGTGACTATTTTACCTCAAGAAATGATTTTAATATCCAGCTAAAACCTTCATAGTTTACCTTAAATTTTTATTTTTTTCCTGAACTTTAATAAACAAGGCTGAGAACAACAAAAAAGTTGGAACAAACTATAACAAGACAAGCGAAAGCATTATAAATATAAAGCATTTCAAAAGCTGCCTGAAGTTTTTAAAATGTTATTATGGCTGCAGATAGACGTGTAGTATCACTCCTGCATTTAAAGCAGATAAAACCACACAAATCAAACTGGACCTGTTACAGATTTGAGATCAGGTTCTGACATGAAAAAATCTGCCGACATGTTTCCAACAGACTCGCATTAGACCGCCAATCTCCATTTCATTTTCCTCAAATTTTGTCCCAGGGAACTTTTGTTTATCATACGGCGTTATTGCTGTACAGAATAGTACAAAATAAACTGAACTGAATAGGAGAGTGAGATATCACATACATCCAGTAATCAGTTTACATGTGATACCCAGTGCAGTGGGTACATTTAGCCTATATTATTTAACAAACATCAGAAAGCTATATTTTATTGTGGATATCTTGCTGTTGGTAGTCTCTCTCTCTCTCTCTGTTTTGTACAGGCTGTGTGTGTGTGGACCTTTCGCTCTCTTCCCTGCTCTGTTTTCATACAGCAGTGATTTTCTGTCTACACACTGTACATCTCTAATTGCTCTCTCTTCCACTTTGAGGTCTCAGTCCGCCTGCTGCCCGTCAGCCACTGCCTGCTTCTCCTCCTCCTCCACCACCACCACCATGCCTCTGAATCACTGTAGCAAAAAAACTGACCTACTTACCGAGTTGAAGAGCTGCATCTCCTCTCCTCTGCCTCTTAATGACCCACACTACTCTAAAACCCTTATGTGCCATTCTAACGCCTCACTGACATTTACACGACAATAAATCCATATGATTCTAAGGAGAGGATTAAATATTACATCCCAATTAAGTGTTCTGAGAGACTGCTGACATCTACAGTGCAACTTATACATAACCTGCCGTGAACTGCGTTTCACCTTATGAATTGGGGATTATGGCTGGTGAAAAGGTGGAGGGAATAAAAGTAGTTTCTTTGCAGCAACATAAAGGCGCTTACACAGAAACATTTGGTGGCTTATGAAAAACATTTTTAGATAGTTTTTGTATTACAAATGACGAATTTCTCTGCGGCTGTGATGCTTCTGCTGGCACATTCTTCTGTTGTTTTCCCCTAAACACTGAGCCCATGCCAGCACAGTCCACTAGTCTGTTTCCAGTGGGCCTTGTGTTTTGCACGGCTGCTAAACCGACCAGAGACCCAGCAGCGCAAAGAGGATTCCCACCCATATGCTCCCATTATGACGTGTTTATAATTACCTCTTCCCCTTGGAAATCTGTTATCCCAGCAGGCTGTGCTCTAGAACAATTCTTATTCAAAGTAAAATAAAACAACAAAAAAAATTAAATAAAATCAGACCTACCCTCTTCTCCATGCGAGTCGAGAGCCAGTCCTACACCGGAGATGATGATGCGCTGCTCGGCTACTCCAGCGAGCTTTGCTCCCTTCCTCTGTCCCTGGGGTCCTGAAAATAAAAGTAAATGTGTTTTTTTTAATATTCATCAGCAGTGAGGTTGCAAACACGGTTAACATCATGCAAAACAAGCCTTTAAGGATTCAATGAAAACACAAGGCTGTGGATAGAAAACAGTCAAGACCTGCTCCCTCTGTCTGTTTACTCCGAGCCCATCGCGTTTTATATTACAACATTATGATGGGACTGGAGATTTTATGGACGCTGATATCCTTCTGTACGCTGTAAGCCTAATGCTTTATAATACACTTAGCGGTAATAAAGCTCGCAGCCTATTAAATGCGACTGGCTGCTGATGTTGAGTAATGCACAGGGCTCCAGTAAATGGTGTAAAATGTCCCACCGAGACGTAAATAATCGCCGTATCCAGTCCTGTACGGGCTGTGTCCGGTGTAGTCCAGAAACCCGGTGAAAGGGAGCAGCGGCTTCCTGCAGCGCCTCGCCTCCGCCTGGTGCGCCTCTCGCTCCGGCTCGCAGCCCGTGTGGATGCTCGGTGCTCTGGGAGACAGATAGAAAGCAAGCGTCCCGTTCCTTTTTGGCTCCTTGCGCTCGCTGTCCGCGCAGCATACGGCGACAGGCTGGAAAATGTCACGGCTGGGAATGAGCGATGAGTGTTTTTCAGTCTCAAGAGGAGAGAAGGAGGAGGAGGAGG